AAGAAGGATCCCTGGATATCATCAGTCGAGATACAAAAGCAATTAGAGCTGCCTGTATCGGACCAAACAATCAGACGACGTGCTGTTGAAGCCGGATTGTTTTCTCGACGCCCTGCAAAGAAACCACTGTTTTCACTAAAGAACCAGAAGAAAAGACAACCACCTATCGGTAATGGGTTGGCCACCTCAATCTCCGAATCTCAAGCCTATCGAGAACCTGTGGGAGATCATCAACCGCAGAATTAACCGTAAAGGTGTTCGTAATAAGGATCAACTGTTTGAACAAATCTAAAAGGCTTAAGCAGCGATTCAACAAAGTTTCATTGATCACCTGATCGAATCTATGCCTCGAAGATGCAAGGCTGTGATCAACAACAAAGGATTCGCCACAAAATATTGATAGCGAAATACAACTTGGTCAACATTTTGTGGAGTTGCACTTGTTTTGTCCAGAAGGAGATCAACTTTTTTTAATACTTTTGATTAATTTATTAATTTTCGTGTACAAATAATGAACTTTGTGATGAATAAAATTTGAAGAACATTGTCTCTAAACAGTTACATAATTATTTCTCTAAATTGAAAAAATGCAGCATTTTTATATAAAGAAACTAAATTAGCATTATTTGGTTGCACTTGTTTTGTCTGATACTGTATATTCATTGATAATTTTTGAGTATTGTTTTACAACCTCTATGCGTTCAAAAATTATAACAATATAAAGTTTGTAAACCCCTCATATTGAGAGGGGTTTAAACTTTATATGGTCATATTTTATGAACGCTGAGAGATAATACTATGAAATTTAAAATTTATTGATGAATATAAACTTAGTTGAGAATAGCAAAAAAATTATTTAACCAACTTATTAATCTCACATTTGGGGCAGAGGGGATGAAACTTTAGGGCTTTTCTTGTTCCCAGCCTCCAATCAATGCAATATCCTGCAAAGCATCATTTTTTGACATAAGTATAAACATACAGATGTTTGGAGTTTATCTCAAACACCAAAAAATGCTGCACCCTTCACTGAGCTGTTGCTTTGCTTTAGGCTTTTTTTTTGACATGAAGCAAGCATAAACTTCCAAGTTAAATGCTTGTTCACTTGTTTTTACTTATTGTTGACTTGTTTTCAGTAATGCATTCACAATTGTGGACTTTCGCATATCTGGAATTTGACATGGACATTCTTCCACGGTTTGTAAAGCATATGGCAATTGAGTTTCATCTTTCGTCAAGATTTTTGTGTAATCTGAAACAAGTTTCACCTGTCTTTCAGTTGTATCATTCACAACTTTTGTAGAATCAACAACTTTATGTGCTTCCTGGTATTTGGTTACTCTGCTCCATACATCTGGGCAATGTTTCTTCATAAATGTCCAATTTATTCCAAGCACTTTAAATACATATTTTGATCTCTTTTTTACTAAGTCATCTAAGTTTATGTTTACAATTTTATTCATTAATCCTTTGCCTTCAAGCCTTTTTACCTGTATTTTTTTGGCTGACTTTTCAAGTGCAATTAACATTTTTTCTTTAGTTTGGTTATCAACATAGCTGCTGAAAAAAGAGAGAATCACAAGGTCTTCATTTAAATACCATAAATGACCTGTAATGGCTTTTATGACAGATTTTATGTCAGATCAATGTGAGGAGCAAATGAAGAGGAGGAAATCCAAAACCAATGTTTCATGGAAATCAAAATTGAAAAAATCAACAACCCTAGAAGATTCTTCTCTTTGTTTTTTGTTAAATAAAATGTCAAAACAAGTCGATTTTAATAGAATACAGTCCTTTCACTACTTATCCTGCTTGGTGCTTAGCACCAGGGATGAGTTTTTCCTAAAAAAATTATCAACAGTTGCAAAAATTCTTTGTAATCATTGAGAGATTGTTTTATTCCTTTCAGCATTCTTACAGCAAATTCTACTGATGGTAAAAGCAAACCATACACTTTGAGATCTTCATCAGTTAAAACCTATGTTTCAGAATTTAGTCTACTCCACTTACTCCACTTATCACGAAATCATTGAAATAACCTCTAGACCAATAGATGGTTCAAAACAAGTGGTGAACGTGGTGTCAACAGAATGTGTATAATAAAGAATTTTTTAAACAAGGTACAAGCACCTGAATGTATACTTACGTTGCTTGAAGTAGTATCAAAACAGTGCCACAATTTTGTCATGCAATAATTTGTATAATTCACAAATCAACTGAACTTATATAGCCTTTTCTTCCTTCTTTTTGTAATATAAGAAACATCTTGTCTTCTTCTATTGTGATTAATTTTAAAGCATCTTCATGAGCAATATCAAATAATTCTTTGATTTTTTGAGAAAAAGTCTTATTTCCTTGCTGAGTTTCTGTTTTATGGCCTTTATTCTTTTTCAGATTTTTGTATTTCTTAATAAGTTTTTAACGAGTGTTATAACATGATAACATTATTTTGTTAGAACTCTAGCTCTTTGTTAAAAGTCTAGAACTTGATCTGTCACAAGACCTGCACTTTCTCTTACATTGTTATTCATTTTTATTAATAAAAAAAATTTGCAAGAACTGTCTTACAAATGGCAATTTGTGCGCTGCGATCACAGCAGTAGCTTGACTAATACACCATAATTTATTTTGACTTTAGCCTCCATAAATCAACTTTGAAAATATCTGTCTAATAATGTATTTTAAAAATGTGTTTTCATTCAAGACATTGATTTTATTTGTAATTTTAGGATGCAATAATTTCTGCAGTAGTGCAATACGGATTCAATAACTTAACTAGATGATGAAATATTACACTGGGTATTCTAAATGCCAGCCAAATAATTTTATTTTAAACTTTTTAAACTTTAAATGCTGTGCTCATATATATATATATATATATATATATATATATATATATATATATATATATATATATATATATATATATATATATATATATATATATATATATATATAAGTCATTATATATATACAAGCACAATATTTGAACCTTGACAAAAAGTCATTATATTTTAACCGTTGGCACTCAGCTAGCCTTGAATATGATCTCTCCTTAGTGACAACCTCAGGTATTCAGTGACTGATGAAACCAAAACAAAACTCATTTATTTTCTGCTGTCATGTACTTCACAATAATGTTAATATTTCTTCATGAATGGCAAAACTCTTACTGAGTATACTGTCTACATCTTCTTAGATATATTTAATCTATTGCTTCCAATTTAACATACGTATCTTTTTATTGTGCATATTACTTTTTCAGCCTTTGTTTAGCAGAATAAGCATTTGCTACGCCACTTTGACTTTTTAAAAAACATGAGTACTTGCTAATCTTGACAAAGATAAAGTACAGTTAAATAAACCTTAATATTAATTAGTAAATGACTGGTTGATAGCCAGGGCTAGAAATAAATTTATATTATAATTTTATACTTACATTTACTATTTATTAAATTCTGGCATATATTTATGCCAGTATTTAATAAATAGGGACAGATACAGTAAAAGGATGCAACTTGTTGAATGAGAAGCCAAGCAAGAATGAGTTTTGATTTATTGTAATAGAGATGATAGCTCATTTGAGCATTGACCATGATTAGAGAAACAGCATAAAAGAGGAAGGCTAAAGCCTGCTGTTGTTGTTATTGATGATGATGATGATGATGATGATGATAATGATGACAATAATGATGACAATAATGATGATGATAATGATGATAATGACAATGACGATTATGATGATGATGATGATGATCATGATGATGATGATAATCATGTTAATAATAATGATGTTTATAAATGCGTATATATACAAAATCAAACATAAATTTTGAAAAAAAAAAGTACTTTAGGATATATAAATCTTTATGCAGCCCCAGTTACAAACCTGGTCCCGATCAAATATCAACCTCAGTCATTTACTAATATTAATATTAAATTTAATAATGAAGTCTTGAAATCTTGATGTCTGTTGTATAATTCTTTGAATACTTAGACAGAGGCAATTTTGCTGTCCGTTGCCAAGTAGTCCAAGAATGTTTTCACCTTCATACTTTCCAACTTCCTGACAAAATTTAGGAAATTTGCTTTTCCTTTGACAATTATTGATAAAGTGGAATCACACCCAATCCATGCATGAATAAAAATCTTTGACATTTGCAACATTCCTTCAGCTTTTTTTTTATTGCCCTTTAAGGCTTTATAGCTCAAAGCTCGGTCAAAGCGTGATCATTTTAACAATAAATACCAAAAGTTCTTACAACACAAATTTCATATAAAGCCTATTAATTCTTATGTAATGATATGTGCAAAAGCTTAACTTTATAGCAGATGTGATGCAATAGTTAGAGTTTTAAACCAAGAGACTTGAGATTCGATGCTCTGACCAAATAAGCAACATTGGTAATGGAACTTTCTAGTTGAATAATTTTGTGCACAAAAAAAATAAAAATATAATGGTTGCTGCTCAAGCAAGCTTGACTTCTTTGATCAAAACTTGCATGACTTGTCATTCAGCAAAGTTGCATACTTTTACTTTAACTGTTCCTTCATGTTTAAAAAACTATTATTAATCTAGTTTTTTTTCCCTGAACATTAGTATTATAAAATTTACAGTTTTTATGTCTTCTGTCAACCATTTTCTTGCACTTTAACTCGCTTCGTTGCTTTCTGTCAACAATATAAATAGTGGCTGCTTGCAACCATGTTAAAAGTGAGTTCATTTAAAAAAAAAAACTAAAGGTATTATATATTATATCTTTGCCCCAGCTAACAACCCTGCTAATAAAATTGTTTAGCTAAAGCCGGTGTTCTAAAACACTCCATATTTAGTGAGTGTTCGGGCAGAGACTAATAACTTAAGACCATTTACTTATGTCAAGAGTTTCATATTACTAATCCCACAAAAATTAAACTATTATTTTTATAGTAGTTTTCACACTCTAATTTAAAATTTTTAAAAAAAGAAAAGAAAAAATTATAACAATTCAAAAAAATACCTTTAATTTGATAAACAATGTCTTTTTCTTTTTGTGATAATGACAATAACCATTTGGAAAATCACTTGCTAGTAAAAGAAAGAGCAGGAGCTAAACAAAATGGAACTAAAATGAAATCATTAAACAGTATGAAATCATTAAAATCAAATTATTAAACAATATGAAACCACTAAAATGAAATCATTAAACATATGAAACCATTAAAATGAAATTATTAAACAATATCAAACCATTATAATGAAATTATTAAACAATATGAAACCATTTAAAGGAATTCACTAAGCAGTATAAAATCATTAAAGCATTAACATGAATTCATTAAACAATTCAAAAAATTAAGATAAAATCATAAAAATAAACAAAACAAACCATAAGCCATTATGAAAAATGTTTTAATTAAAAAAATCCTTACTATTTAAGCAATCAATATAACCATTCAATACGTTAAATGAATCTTTTTCAATTTCAACAATTTTCCCTAGTTTTAGACGTTTGCCATTATTTTGAACACTTATACCAATCTTAATGAACAACACATAAGTTACAATTTGCATTTAGACATAAAATTAAATATAAAGTTTGATAAAAGATCGAAACCAATATTTATGAACAATACTGAAATATTAAATATTTTTTTAAAAGTTAAATAACAATATGTATATATATCAGACATGGGTCAATTACATGAGCTTCAATTACAATTAAATTACAATTACATTAAAATTTGCCAATTACAATTACATGATTTTATATTTGGCTCAATTAAATTACAATTACAAATGTTTCGCATAATTTCAATTACAATTACAATTTCAATTACAATTACTGTTGGTAAGAAAATAATTACAAGTCATGTTTGCTGTGCTGCTTTATTTAATGCCAAAGTTATTGATATTAGAAAACAGTCAGTACAAATTCTTGTTAAATTTTATGAACATCAAAGTCTCAAATTTGTGGGCCTTGAATCTGGTTCTTTCTGGACAATAGATCTTGCCCGCAACACTGAAAACTCTTTCTACTAGTGCAGATGATGCTGGAATATATAGCAGAGCACATGCTGCTCGAGCTGCATGTGGAAATTAATAGCTATAATTGCATGGTATTGTAATATTGTTTTACTTACCGACAGGTAAGTACAAAGGTTTGAATTTGCCTTTATTGAGTATGAAACAAACTCTCCACATGTTTTGCATTTTATTTTTATATTGTCACCATTTGGTTTTGAGCTACCTTCATCAGTGATAGAATCAATTTCATATTATTCGAAAATTAAAGCTGCTTACTTTTATTCATTATAGCTTACATGTAAACAGGAAAAAGATTTAATATAAATTAAACAGATTCATGAAAAATAAACTTAATTGAAATATTTCAATTACACCAAGGCAATTACAATTACACATGGGTCAATTACAATACTATTATATATAACTGGTTAAAGAAATAAACCAAATATATATTGACAATTTCATAACCCTATATGCCCATTGATAACATGATAATTAGTGGAGGTTTTGTGTAAAAATAACGAATAAGTATTTTTCTTTTTGCTTAAAAAAAGTTCACCCTCCAAATGAGAATATGATGTGTCTAAGATATAACATGTAAGTATATTTACATAAAAGTTGCATCATTTTACAATAGCATTTTACATTTTACAATACATCACCGATAAATAAATATACCAGTATGTTTCTAATGTTCATTACTTAAAAGAAATTTAACATTCAACTTTTCAGTTGATCTGCAGAGTGGAAGCAGGTCTTGCATTACTTTAATGGCACGCTCAGCACAGATATTTGAACGCTGGGTTGCTATTGGCGTAGGCTCCACTGACCAAAACTTCCTCAATGAGCGCAAAGCCATAGGATCATCTTTACAAGCTTCTCACAAATTATCAAAGTCGGCAAGATTGAAGAACTGAGAAGAGAACCAGAATTTTGACCATGAACCACAGATGAAATCACATGCCACTTTTGCTGTTTGTCTTAACTCTAACACCAGGATGAAAGCAAAACATAAATGGCTCTTGAGTTCCAACTTACATTACTGATAGATGGAAGTGATCGGAAATGCACTTTTAGGAAACTTCCTGTACTTTTGAAATACCTTTAGCATGATAGTAAGTGATCAAGAAAAGACATGTCATCTCACCAGCAATCCTGTTCTACTTTCTCCTGTTCTTTTCCTGTATTATCAAATGATTTCTTTAATTGATCATAGTGTCCTTTTATTTGTTAAGTAAAGGAATAACAGATGTTTGGTATGTTTGTTTCAATATCGTATCCAGAATATGATTGTTGACAACCAATAAACACAGGTTTTTCTAATCCAATATCTTCAAAGTGCTTCTGCAACAATGTGACAGCTTCCAGATTTTTTCCAGTATTAGCTGCAGTTGTATCAGAAACAATCATTTTTATTGAGGGCCATAGTTCATATTCGTCAAGCACTGTTTTTATTCCATTGAATATTGTCTCACCTTTTCCATTTATCAATTGAAGGACAGAAAGTCTAACTTCCCTAGTTTCATTTTTCAAAACAACTACCTATTATTCCTTCTGTATAATCTTACCATCAAAAAACACCAGTGTTCATTTTTTAGATTTTCCTTAAAATTTCTTTTTAGCTTTTCTCCTTCTTTTATTACTGCTTTGTAGATGCCACTCTGAGTTGGAATAGGTATGGAAACTCCGCTTTTGGACAAAGTTTCACATACTTTGTGGGCCTTCCTTGTACTCAGTTTTGTTGCAGTTACCAAACGTACTGCAGAATCAGTTCTTTGCCTTTTACTGGAAGAAGGTTCCGCATAATCTTCATTGCTACTATAACTTTGTTCTTCACTCATAGATTTTTCTGTTTCTGTAACTGTTTACGAATCTTCTTCACTACTTTCTTCAATAGAATCTTGTATGACTGACACTCTTCTTTTAAACATCTTCACTTTTCTTAGATGCATCCCCTTTGTGTCTTCTTTTGTGGTGCAATATCCTACTTTCCCTTTTGTTGAAAACTGCAGTTCTCAAAACTCCCTGTCTTCTCTGCACAATTATTCTCCTTTCTCATCTGTTACATTAAACAATTTACTAAAATCATTGTTTCCAGGCCTTCAAGCACGCTTTTCATAAGTTTTTATTACATTCTCAACTTTTCATGCAACCATAGATCTACCTTGTTGAATTGGCAGATTCAAATTATTCCATAGGCCTTTCTATCATTACAGTTTGCTCTTTTCTACATTTTACATCAGAAGCCAGAGTTTTAAATCTGTCGAAGATATTCTGCTCCATTGGAATTCTCCGCATCTGATCAAGACTGTCAATGGTACTTTTTAAAAATATTTTAAAAAATACTTTCTTGACTTTTTATACTTTTAAAATTGCATTAGATTTGAAGACCAAATCTCCTTATTCTTCTCTGAAGAAAGCGCGTTTTTAGACATTGAAGATCCAAAGTTGAAATTCTTCAGATAGTAAACAATCAGTTAAATGCTGTGTTGGTGCCAGAAGAAACAGGTTATTGGAATCTAAATAATAGATTACTAATAAATATGAAATTTATTAGATAAAAAAAAGTTATAGGAACTTAGAGTAACGTACATAACAAGATCTTGTAACATTCATATTCAGTAAATAGAGAGCTACAAACAATTTAAATGTTAAAATGTTACCCTACAAACAGACTTTATTTACTTGTAGGTTATTCATCTTTATAGAACATGAAATTGCACTATTTCTAATTATATTGAATTATCATATTAACAAATGTTACAAAGCTCAGCATTTGGATAAGGCAGCCTATGTGTAAAATTAAAATCAGTTTTTTAATGATATATTCTTGAAAGAAATGATAAATGTCCACTCATAACAATAGGGGCAATAAAAAATTCCAAATATTTTATTCTAGTCATATACATAATATATATATATATATATATATATATATATATATATATATATATATATATATATATATATATATATATATATATATATATATATATATATATATATATATATATATATATATATATATATATATATATATATATATATATATATAGTTTAGCACTTACGAGGACAGATTTTACAAAAAAACAGACACTTTTTTTGTAAAAAAATGTACCCGTAAGAAACTTTTATAGAGAACAAAAAGTACATACATCGACTGACAAATACCCTGACTCGCAAGGGAGTGCTGCTACATCGACTAAGGGTTTGGTTTGGCCAGGCATCAAGGTCAGGGTTAGGATTACGGCAAGGTTTAAATTTGGTTATATTATTGTAATTAATCGTTTTTGTAAATAGATGAAGTTAAAAATAAAATATAATATAAAATAAATAAAAATTACAAAAATTAAAATATAAAAAATATATTTTTTTTAAATAATAAATTTAAATATGTATAAATAAAAATAGAAATAAAATTAAACATATATATATAAATATGATAAAAATAGTATTAAAAAAGTAAAATAAACAACAGAATGGGAACAAAAATAACATATCCCCGAAAGTCGCCAACTAGGATGCTATATATATATATATATATATATATATATATATATATATATATATATATATATATATATATATATATATATATATATATATATATATATATATATATAATATATATATATACATATATATATATATATATATATATATATATATATATATGTATACATATATATATATATATATATATATATATATATATATATATATATATATATATATATATATATATATATATATATATATATATATATATATATATATATAGTAATTAAAACATTTGCGACTTCCTGTAATTTAATTTTGTTATAAATTGAAGTTTTATTAATTTGATCATTCATTCCTGATGAGTCTTTGTTGATGAAACACAGTGTAAAATGAAAAAAATTTTTGTTAAGTGATCTTCTACTAATTTATATATATATATATATATATATATATATATATATATATATATATATATATATATATATATATATATATATCTTTATATATCTATATATATATATATATATATATATATATATATATATATATATATATATATATATATATATATATATATATATATATATATACATATATATATATATATATATATATATATATATATATACATATATATATATATATATATAAATATATATATATATGTATATATATATATACATATATATATATATATATATATATATATATATATATATATATATATATATATATATATATATATATATATATATATATATATATATATATATATATATATATTTAATGCCACAGATTTGTTTTCTGCAATTGTTTTTTTATTTTTGACTAATATTTTTTGCACAACTTTCAAGTAACTTTTATTTTGGATTTATTATTTTTCTATTTTACAAATAACTTCACTCCTTATGAGAAACATCAGGGTTGCATAATAAACTTAATTAACTAAAATTTAAGTTACACGAAACAGATGTCAACCATAAGTTTGAATTAGCCGACATGCAAACTTGTATAGCTGCAATAATACAGTCAAAAAAGAGATGCAGCAGAAACTATTAGTTGCTGTTCTAATTATTTTGTTTTTGATAAGTTGATAATAAAAGCATTGACAACCATATCTGGTAGAGTGTTACAAAAATTCAACATGATGCTGTATACACAAAACATATATTCAATTAAATTAATATAAAATTATCTCTTTAAAGGGCACAAGGCAGTGATAACATTCTAGATGAAAACATACAGGATAAGCAAGAAAGAATTTGTAGATATGTAATAGCTCAATAAAGCAAAGAAATTCATAGATATTAATAAAACACGATCTAAAACCTTGATCAGATTTTATCTATAAAAATTAAGTTTTTTTTAACTTGGTGGTTTCACATATGCTTGCAGTGTGGAATCTTTACCTTTTACTGAAGTAAAACTACACAAAACAAAAAAGTAAATCTTTTATGTGCTACACACATTGCAATACTATTATGTATAAACAATAATATAAATAATTATATTATAAAACAATGATGCGTGATTTGAGATGGAGATTTTTAAATATATATATATATATATATATATATATATATATATATATATATATATATATATATATATATATATATATATATATATATATATATATATATATATACATATTGTGTTGTTTCTGATGTAACTTTGATAAATTGTTTGATGATTTGGACTGTTTTTTGTTCTATACTTTGGACTTAAGTTGTTTTACATTTTAAATTCTTTATAATTAAAAATAGAGAATTTAAAAAAAAAAAAATATATGTAATTTATTTGTGTATGACAAACTAAAGTATGTTTTATAATATCGTTTATTTATTTTACTTAGGTCGTTAGGAAAGTTCGTAGAACTCCCCTATAAAAAAAAAATAAAAAAGTTTTTTTTATTTTTATTTTATTAAATAATTAAAATAATGTTCATCATTATCTATACAAAGTTACATCCTTTCAAGCCATTTGTGAAATGTTTTTTTATACTCTTCTTTGGGTATACTTTCAAGTAGCTTCGTTATGCGGGTTTTTTGGCTTTCGACGTCAGTATCATCATCAAGATTTTTTTATCAAATCGAATAGCCTATAATCGGATGAAAGTAAGTCTGGTGAGTATGATGGGTGACAAATTATTGTAATTCCAGCTTGGTTTAGACAATTTGTGACAGTTTGAGTTACAAGGGGTCGAGCATTATCATAAAAAAATTTGAAATTGTGAGTGCCTGTTTTTGGTCTTTGCTTATTTATTTTGCATATAAGGTTTCAAACAATTTTTTATATAATATTTGCTAGTAATGGTGTCTCTCTTTTCAACATAACCCTAATGAACAACACCTGTTGTTTTGAAGAAGATGCAGAACATGGTTTTTGGCTAAAACCTATAGCATCTTACTATAGTTTACGGACTTTCACCTTCACCGACCCAACTAGCGTTAGCTGACTTGTATCCAACTTGTCTCAAATAAAACCATGACTCATCCCCTGTAACAATATCACATAGCCTCCATGGGCCGTTTCTAAAAAGGACTAAAATTTCCTTACATGGCTTAACTCTATTGTTTCGATTTTGATCGGTTAATTCGTGAGGTATCCAACGTGATGTTAGTTTTCTTTTTTAAGTGCGTTGTGAATGATTTTGTTGATTGTAAAACGATCAATCGATGTCAGGGCTTCAATTATATCATGTGTTGCATGCGCATTTTCTTCAATAATTGCCCGCAAACGTTCAATATTCTCAGCTGCATATGTGGTTTGAAAGTACCCTGAGCGAGGATCATCTTCAAGACTCTCTCTACCATCTTTAAATAAAGTAGCCCATTTAGCAACTGTACTATATTTTGGAGCTTGGTCACCATGAACTAAAACCAATTCATCGGTTATGGTTTGTGCTGAAACTCCAAGTAGAGCACGGGTTTCAATATATGCTCGATATTCAAGTTTTTTCATTTTTAAATTTTTTCTTTCAAACGTATATAATAAAATTTAAACAACTTTTTAATAAACATTCAAAATATTTAAACAAATACTTAAAACGTTCATAATTATACACAGTTCAAGATGATATATAAATATTTAATTATTTCCTGTCTTATTGTAACTTTATAGATGAAGTTCTACGAACTTCTCTAATGACCTAAGTATTATTTATAGCTACCTATTTAGTTTATTAAAACAAGTTAAAACCATATAAGTATATTAGTATGATTGAATTGAATTATATCTTAAAAAAGTACTACTTTATATTTTTATACTTTATCTACAATAACGTATGTAGATAACCAATTGTTACTAGTTTTTTCTACCTATATAGCATACAGCCTTTTCAGAAAAGGGCAATCCAGAAAATCCAATCCAAAAAAAGCTAATCCAAAAAAAGCATCCAACTTTTTTATAAAATGCAACCTTAAGTCTTAGATCTTGCTGATTTTTACACCACTCAAAGATTTTAATATTTTATAAACATTTCAAAAATTTTATCACCTAATTCCAAACAGTTTCAAAGATACGACTCTTCAAACTTTGCCTTGAACCAATAAAAATCTGTCATTTTGAAAAATGGTTCTGGCCATTGTTTATATTCTGTGTGCAATGAAAATGTGTACACTTACATATTTTGAGGCAAGGAATGCAATGAAACAACTTAAAATATATAAAAATAAACATAGCACCTGTAATTTTGACCTTTATTGCAATTTTACTGGGGCAAGTTTAGTAACAAAAATGCAGACGTTGCTCAATTTTTTTTTTTTTAAGATGTTGTCCTGAATAGTTTAGTGAGAGTTATTCCAAAGAATTGAAAAGTGTGTGTTCACCTTTGAAAAAAAGGTGGTACTCTTAAGCGCTTAATACACAGCAGTTGATGGTTAATAATTTTCAAAAATTTTCCACTCACCCTGAGCTTATTAAGACCCCCTCCCCTCGTTTATTGAATTTTATTCAGGGATGCAGAGTAGTAAAAAGGACTCCGGTTTGAAAGTCAAAAAGAGATTATTTCCTAGTTTTTAGTACCCAGGAGCTCTAAAAATAGAAAAAAGCTTATAGACTACTAATGGGAAAAAACTTTTAGTTTTTGAACCCAGAGTCTATAGGTATAATGCCAGCAAGGACTCAAGACTTAAAACAATAACTTCCAAGTTTTTAAATTTTACGAATTTTTTTCTTTTTGCAGATCATAAATCAACCAACATGTTAAGAGCTTTTGGACACCAGAGACCAGGAAAAAATAGAGATACAAAGCTGTAGTCCTTTTGGGAATCAGCATCCCTGATTTTAATTGTTATGAACAAAGAAACTGTATCTCAAAACTAAAAACAAAAAATAATTTTTATTTATTATTTTCTAATTTCTGAGACCGATCAGGCCATAAAAATTAGAAAATATAAACTTACTTATAGAAATAAAAATAATAATGCCTACCTTCCTGTTTATTATTACCCCCTTCTTCGCCCTCCCCCTTAGTTTCCTAAATCCCTCATTTATGACATGTGAACAAAAACTTGATTTATCTACTGATTGAAAGAGTTTAACAAGTTTATTAAGCTAAATTTTGTTTTGTCATGTGACCAGTATGTTTTATAATCATTTCTCTTCCTTTATTTACAACTTCTTCCACAACTCTAAATCCAATTAAAAAAGATAGTGCAAAATTAGAAACATTACCTCCTGAATTACCAATAACACTTATCACTATCGCAGTACGTTGCCTAACTGGAAGTCCCTTGTCTATTGCTGGGAAAACTATTTTCTTTAAAACATTTTAAGGTAAAAAACCAAGGTAGATTGTTTATATCTGTTATGGTATTCTAATGATTATAACATTATGACTATGAATTAGGTTTTAGGCTAAATTTTATAAACCTGAAATCTTTCAAAAACCTCAGTAAAAAAAACTTTTTTATCAGAAAAACTGTCATCACTGAATTCTTTCTCTAAACTAACTTCATTAGACATTCCCTATGATTGATTCTTTAAAAATACCTTTTCAGGAAGAGCTCTTTGTATTCTGGAAACAACTTCACATGTAAGCAACTGGAGATTAATAAAGCCATCTAGGTTTGACACTTTTGGAGCTAAAAACAGTAATTTCTTGTCAAAATGCTTACCAAAATTTAAAAAAATGGAAAAAAACATTTTACAAACATTCAATTATTTTAAATATTTTTTATCTATGTAGATAAAAAAGAAAGAAAGAAAAAAAGAGTATTTTCTAAACTTTCTTTTAATTTAAAAAATTACAGCATGATAAAAGAATTGTTTTTTTAAATCAATAAACAAGAATCAGATATTAAAGAGTACAGTATGATAAGGAATTACCTATGATGCAATTAACTTATAAACAATAATTAGATATTAAAAACACAATTTTATAAATGAATTTTTGCATTTATAAAAAAATTTTATTTTAATTTTTAACCAATTATTAAGCAGGTTTATACAAAAGAGATGACAAACAAAAAAAAAGCTTTACATTTAGATTTGTGACAAAGGACTGTTGCTTCAGTACCTTTTTCTGGTTCTTTAAAGTAAATTTAAGTACATCTTTAAAACCATCTTTAAAACTACCTTTAAAACTCTTAACAGAACAGTGCAGCACTCGAAATAATGGCCGATCAACAATCAATGATCAGCTATTTTTAGGGAAATTTCAAAAAATCCAATGGAAAATAACCTGTTTTTGTGAAAAAATTACATTTGATCGGCAAGCTTTGAAAAACTATTTCGAGCGCTGCAGTGAATAAAGTATAAGTTATAAATGTAAATCAATAACTAAAAGAGTTAAAAAGAATTAAGTTAAAAAAATTATAAGGAAGGTGATAATTTATTTAAAGATGAAAATTAAATGAAAGATAATGTAAAGGACTGTTTGGAGAAAAAGTTAAAGGATTAACTGAAGTATAGAAGCAGAATATTTACTTATAAGATAAGGTAAAAGTTTAAGTAAAAGAATTAACTAAGCTTAATGTGTAGGTAAAAGATAAGGTAAGAAATTAAGGTAAGTGTGAAAGGTTATGGTGAAGTATAAGTTAATTTTAAATATATAACTAAAAGATTTAGGAGAAAAATTCAGGTAATAAATCAAGGCAAAAAAGCAAAAAATTCAAGTTGAAAAATAAAGTCAAAGATAATGTGTATATATATGTATATGTATATATATATATATATATATATATATATATATATATGTAAATGTATATATATATATATATATATATATATATATATATATATATATATATATATATATATATATATATATATATATATATATATATATATATATATATATATATATATATATATATATATATAGTCGTATGACAATTTATTAAGGCCACTCATAATTTTTTACATTCTCAAATTTCAAAGTCTATTATTTTGATATTTTTTTGTGATTTATGTACTCAAAAGTAATTTTCATTTAAGAAATGGGTATTTTTTTTGACAAATAAAAAACATTTAACAAATTTTTCATAAATTTTATTATTCAAATATATTTATAAATATATTCAAGATCAATATTTAGTGATTCCTCCTTTTGCCTCTATAATTGCAAGAACCTTTTTTGGCATACTTTTGATGCATTTTTCAGCCATTTCCTTCAATTCTTTATTGTGGTTCCAATGGTGAATTAAATACACTTTATTTGTAATATTTTCTTTAGATATTTGCTTCTTTAGGAGCACCCTAACATTTTCTATAGGATTTAGGTCAGGAGAATTTCCTGGCCAATCGCATTATGGAATATTTTGTTATGATAGGTATTTTTTAACTGATTTAGCCATGTGACATGGTGCCTCGTCCTGCATGAAGGTTTTTTTTCACCAGGACTAAACCATTCTGCCAATTGTGGCAACAATCTGTTCCTGTTCCAGGACATTTTTATATTGTAACTGATTCATTATTCCCTCTATAACATAGAGCTTTCCCATTCCCCTTCAAAATATAACTGACCAGATCATTACAGAGGTGGAGTGTTTGACAGTTTGAATGATGCAGTCCAATAAGTATTTTTCCCCTTTTTTTTCTTTTTACATATTGAGCCTTCTTTAAAGCATACCTTAAAATATTATACAAGGATTGTTAAGTGAATATTTAAAGTTTGGTGTAAGAAAGTGAATATTTCAAATACATCTAAATTAATTTTACCAATTTCCAATCATCTTCAGTTAAATTCGTATATTTTTTGTCCACTCCAGCCTTTTTTGCATCATTTTGGTGTCAGTTTAGGCTTCTTACCTGGACGTCATGAAATGTAATCAAGATCATGTAGGCAACGTTAAACCATTCTCTTTGACATTTTGACTCCAGATTGGTCCAGCTTATTAGTTATTTCATTGTTAGTGGCCTGTCTATTTTCTAGAACAATCTTGGTAGGTATTCTTTTCCTGCGTAGTGTTAGGATTCTCTTCTTTTCACATTTACCAACCCTCTTTGGCATCAAGTTCTCCATACTAGCCATTTTGTTGTACATATTTTGTACAGAAATCCGCAAAATACCACATTTTATGGCAATTTCTTCGTTGAGAAAGATTAGTATTTGTTAAAAGTGTCCTGATTTCAGTAATTTTTTGTGGTAAAAAGTCCTTTTTTTCTCCCATAACTAAAATAAGTTATAACATTTCAGTACTACAGTTAAGAATTTGCTTTGGTACTTATAACTTTAAAAATATAAAATCAAATACAATTATTTTTACTTTAAAATAAAAAGAAAAACTCAAGAAACAATATTTTTACTGATTTAAATAGATATTTTGACGATAACCTAATAAACGAATTCAAAACTCTGGTAATAAAACTTAACAAATGTACAGCAAAAAGATTATAATTAAGATGACATCATACAAAATGGTCGTCAAAAGTGACAGTATTGCCAGTAGCAAAAAAAAAGCAAAACTTTATTTTAAACAAAAGATTAACTTTCAATAATGAATTTTTACTCTTCATATGAAAAAAATTAAATTAAACTTCAAAATGATTAAAATTCATAGGTAGCCATAATAAATTGTCACACGACTATATATATATATATATATATATATATATATATATATATATATATATATATTGATATATATATATATTGATATATATATATATATTGATATATATATATATATCAATATATATATATATGAGATCACTTTACTTATCTTTTGTTAGGTATATATATATATATATATATATATATATATATATACATATATATATATATATATATATTAGGTATATATATATATATATATATATATATATATATATATATATATATACATATATATATATATATATATATATATATATATATATATATATATATATATATATATATATATATATATATATATATATATATATATATATATATATATATATTTAAAAATATATATTTTTGAGTTCATCCCCAAAAAGCTGCAAGCAAACACTATTTTGATTAAAAATAACTGCACACAAACACATTATTATAATAAAAAAAAGCTTTCTTTGTTTTCTGTCAAAAAAGTTTTTGATAAAAAGGTTTTTGATTAAAAGACTTTTCTTTGTTTTCTCCCAACTTTGTTGACAGAACACAAAGAAAAGAGTTAAAGAGCAAGAAAGCAGAAAAAACTAAAAAAGAAAGCAGAAAGAATGCGTTCATTATAATGAAACTTTTCTATTATAATGGTTAACAAAGCAGCATTAGAATGAAAATAAATAGTAGGATCGAAATCCATATTAAATGTCGAAGAGTTGATAGATTGAAAAAGAGATATTAGAAATTTGTTACTTAAAGGCTAATAATAGTTAGAGGGGTGAGGGTGAACTCTAAAGTTTTTGAAATTTAGAAAAACAGATACCATTTTCCGGCAGGCAGGAAAAAAAGATTTAGATAAACATTTGTTGTTGTTTTTTTTTCTTTACTTAATTTCAATTTACCTTATCTTTAGGAGTGGTAATAAGATCAGACCCATGCATGTAAAAAAAAATGATTAAACTTTACTTTGTTAATCATGTTGTTGAAGATTTTACAATAATCACTAGAACCTAATTTCTGAACAATGGCCATTAAATAATACCTTTTTACATATCATAATATTTATAGACTTTAATTATGTTGTGACATCATCAGTCAATGTAATAATGTTTATAATACAAATTTTTGTTGTAAAGAAATAAAATGATTGTAACTTAGTGATATAAAAAACTTAGTGAACATAAATCAGACCAGAAAACTCTGAAAAGAATCTAACTTTTGAACTATTTAATAACCATAAATTATTTTTACCATAATTTTACCATAAGATTACCATAAATTTATTTATTTTTTCAACTTTGAAAAAACTTTAGGATCAAAAACATTTAATAAAAAATACCTAATGTAGCTAAGCTTTCATCTTGAGGCTTAGACTTGATAAATAGTTCATCAAGATGACTCATAACATAAGGCATCTAAATAAATGGTAATCTGTTCATTAAAAAAAAAAAATTTGAGGATTATAGTTATTAAAATTGGAAATTAGAAACAAACAACGAATTCATAAAAATATACAATGAAACGAGCTTTAGCAATAATAGTACAATAATAGAAAAATTATTAGGTTTATTTGGTATAAAATATACCTAAATTTTTATGAGGTCCTAAAAGAGTCACCACAGATTTTGATGAATTGATAAATACTTATTAGGGTGATATGTCAAGGGTAAATATCAGAGAGATAAAAAATGTTTATAATTTAAGTTCTTGTGAAGCGGCATAAAGTATTTTATGATTGATCCTGGAAAATCTCTCAGGAGAGTTTTTCCAGGATAATATGACATACTTGCTAGAGTTCAAAAAAATTAAATTTTACAATTAAAAACTTTATTAAAATCTAATGCTCAAAAGCATATTGTTTTAAATTATATAACTTGTTAATTCAATCAAATTTAAAGCAAAATTTTTATGTATGTTTTTAAAGCTAAAGAACTCTGAGTATTAAATCCTTTTTAGAACAGTAGCCCCTTTCCTATTTTTAGTTGGAAACTAAAAAACTTGGAAACTTATTATACTTAACAAGTTTTATGAAAAAACTGTCTGAACAACTCCAGGATTTGTATATTTAATAAGTTTATCCAATCATTGTCATCAAAAGCATGTTTACAATAATATAAAAATGAATATGGTAAACTGTTAAAAAAATCTTTTAAACAAGCATACATGTAAAAAATATAAGCCACAAGATTACATAAGCTTATTAAAAATGAAACAAATTTCATCTTAAGGGTAATTCCATGTTAAATGATCCAGAAATTTTTAAAAATGTCACCCTAATCTCAGATTTTGTTGGTTTTTATACGATTGAGAGTACTTAGTAAAATAAGAATTCCTTGAAAATTTTAGCTTCTAGCTCCTAGAAGATCCTGAAATATGACCATTTTACTTTTAGTAGATATTAGTTAGGCCTTTTTTGTTCTCTCAGAATTGCAATATTTATTTAGAGGTCTGAAGTTATATAACTTTAAAAATATTTTTTTAAGACACTGGGGAGGAAGGTGTGTATCATGTAACCAACTTTTTTATAGCGGAACCTTGCAATAGATTTCATTTCTCAGATTTCTCACTAGTTTCCAGAGCTCTGAAAACTAGAGCTCTAAAAATTTTAGCATTTGTGTAGTCCTGATGAACATGTTGTAAATTGTTTCCAGGGTAGACGACCAGAGGGTCCATGAGGCCGGGGTACCAGGGGCCATGCCCCACTTAATTTCTCAACAAAAATTTTTTTTTTTAATTTTAACCAAGTAAAGATAAATTTGAAAATATTGTCTTTAAAATTTTTTTTTGCTTTATACTTGTTCCATTTGGTTTTTGATCATTCTATATTCAATTATCTTTCTATAAATATTTGAAGAAAGTTCATGTTTATAAGAATTTTGGTTTGCAAGTACAGATTAAAAACACCCCTCCATACATTTTAACAGAATTTTACATTGTATAATTTTAAACTTTTTGAATAAAAATGGATATATTTTTAAGTTAAAATATTAACAGCAAGTTGTTTAATTAAACAGTTGTTTAACTAAAGTTTTAACCAAAATCCAACAGTAAAAAAACAAAAACATTCTGTGATAACATTATATCAATAAAAACGAAAATTATCACCTTTTAAATCATTATTTTAACTGATACTTAATTCTACAATGTTAACAATGTCTACAATATTATTTTATTGAATAAGAACTACTAACAGTAACAAAAAACATCCTGTCATTACACTAGTATAGTAAAAATTTACAACTTATTTAATTCATCATAGCATTTTTAACATTAACAAATTAATTACAATTAGACAACCTTGTTAAAGAAACAAAAAATTATCTTTTACATTCAAAAAAAGATAAAAAGAAATCACTGTGTTTATGTTAGTTTAATTACTATTAATTTCTCATTTTTAATCTGAAACTGAGTTAATCTGAAAGTTAGTTTTACAGTAAGAATGGATTCATGTGATTTTGGAAAATTGTTAAATGATACTAATTTATTATAGAAAGAGTGATTTAAAGAGATTTAATTATTATAGAGAAGATACCAGAGAAGAACTAATTTGAAGATCTGGAATAACAGATGAAAAAATTTTAACAACCTACCATCATCACGATTTAAAAAGTAGAACTATTCCTGGAATTAGGAGCTTTCATCAATTTAACCCAGAATTTAAAGATTCTATCAACTTTAAACGAACAAGTAAAGAGGTTAATATAACAGGCTTTTTTTCTTTTTTTGGTATTTAAAACTCTCAACCTAATCAACAAACTAATATCAATACATTGAAATTTGATGAATAAAAAATGATATGCTTCATTGGATTGCTATGATAAATAAAATTAAAAATATTGAGCCTCCAGACTAACTAGAAGGTATTGAAAATTCTTTTGCAAAATTAAGCTTATAAAAATGATGCACATGACCCAGCCCTCCACCACTCTCTGGTATCTTGGGCCCTGGATACAATTTAACATACACATTCATTGGCACTACAGAAATTCCAAAAGTTTCAGAGCTCCAGCTAGTCTGGAAAGTAGTGAAAAATTGATCGCAAAATTGCACTACAAAAAAGTGGAGACTGTGCCCTGTTCTCCATATATGGAAATCCATATACTTACAGATCAAAATCCTTATGTTTTCTTAGAAATCAATGAGTATAGAAATATGTGTAAAAAAAAATTTTTTTGATGTCATCAAAGCCACATGGGTTTCTTGGGCATTAAAAACAGATATATAAATAAAAAATTGCCTAATATGATTTAAATTGATTTAAATACTTAATAAAAGTTTTTTACCTTCTGATCATCTTATTAAATTCATCCCTGAAAATAGCCTGGTACAAATTTTAAAGAAAACTTCTTAAATATTTTTAAAATTATGCTAATTGAAACCTCTAAATAAATGTTGCAATTGTGAGGGAACAAAAGGGGCCTGGCCAATATCTGCTATAAGGAAAATGGTCATATTTCTGGATCTTCTTAGAACTAGAAGCTAAAATTTTCAAGGAATTCTTATTTTACTAAGTACTCTAAAATGTATAAAAATCAGCAAAACCTGAGATGTATGGAGACTTTTTGCAACCCTGGCCAATTGAAATGGAATTACTCTTAAGTGTATTGAACCAAAATGGGTTAAACTGGATACAATTAACATTAATACTATAATCAATAACAACAACAAAAACATAAACAAACAATAACAATATTAACAATATACATTTTTTACCTTCTTTAAAAATAAAATTAAAAAAAAGTTACTTTGAGTATAAAAAAGTTCAACAAATAAGAATTTTCATCACAGTAAGAAAAAAAAACATTTACTATTGATGCTGCTTTGTTCATTAATAAAACCAAAAGTTCATCACTAGTGCAACCATCAGGAACCTATAAAAACAATCTTCAAAACAACAACAATAGAACCCCATCCCAATTTAAATGAACTATTTGAATTTAAAATTTAAATAATAAAGTGCTTTTTTTAAACATTCAAAGTAAAAAAAATACATAAAAATCTTAAACATAAAATATTAAACAATTAAAGCAAAACCTTTGTTTCTATTTGATACAAAATATTGCCGACATCAAATCTGTAAATCATATCATACATATGGTGGTCATTTAACCATGGTAATCACAATACAAATAAACAAACAATAAAAAATTAATTTAAAATGGTATAAACTAAAAAAAAAAAGTTTGAATTCTACTTGTGCTTGGAAACTTCAATAATTGACACGCCCGTAGTTCTGTCATTATTAAAAATGGTGTGAATAACTGGAGCAGCCCCTCTCCATCGAGGAAGCAGTGAAGGGTGAACATTAATTGATCTTAAAATATGTGTATTTCAGTTTAAAAAGTATATAAATTAACATTTTGAAAAATTTATATTTAAAAGAACTAATACTTTTCAAATTGTGAAATTATAGGTGCAGGTATAAAGTCACCAAACGAAGCAACAACTGCAACATCATACTTTGAAGAAAGCCTAAATATATATTTTTATGAAAAAAATTTTTTTTTTAAATTGCAATGTACATACATTCATGCCAAGCACTAAAAAAAAGAATTAAAATACAAAGTTTTTACATGGTCATTGGTGAAAAGATTTTTTCTTATTGTATATATATATATATATATATATATATATATATATATATATATATATATATATATATATATATATATATATATATATATATATATATATATATATATATATATATATATATATATATATATACATATATATATATATATATATATATATATATATATATATATATATATATATATATATATATATATATATATATATATATATATATAATAAGAAAATTTAATTTCAATAAAAAAGACAACGTATAAATATTTTTAAATATATTTTGACATAATATATTAATGATATTTCGCTGACCTATTGTGGTCAGCATCATCAGGTAATGAAAAAATGTTACAAAATAACATAAAACCAACCTTTTAAAAAAGAAGACATTAAAAAGCGTAAAATATAAAAACCAATCAAATAAAATAATAGTGAAGTCAGTTAAATTTTTGCCAAAATTGGTCCCCAAGTTTTTGTTTTCACATCATCACCATCATCTCTATTTAGAACAGTTTGCCCAATACCTATCTTGTGTCGAACTCTTGCTTTATTTATCTCCAAGGATTCTCTAACTTTTCTTATCTTGTGGAATAACTGCCAAGGTTTTAGGATTCAGCCAATCAAAATAATATATGTACTCCTTGATAATATATATACTTATTGATAATATATATACTCTTTGATAATATATATATACTTATATAATATATATACTTTGATAATATATATACTTTGACAATATATATACTAATATATACACTTTGATAATATATATACTAATATATATACTTTGATAATATATATACTCTTTGATAAACATACACCTTCAGTACAAATGAAATAGGTATAATTGACTCAGCTCACAAGTGATTCAAATCATTTTTAGTTAACCATCCACAAAAAGTTAAAATTGGTAACTCATATTCCACGAACCAAAATGTATAAAATGGAGCACCACAAGGTACAGTCCTGGGTCCAAAACTCTTTAATATCTATATGAGACCACTTTAAAAATATCTGAACATAATCAATGTTAAAACTTTTAAATACTCAGATGATCATTAAACTCTAAAAGCATTCATTCATTCAAAGCATTCATTCCTTCCTTCATCTAAATATAATGCACTAGTCTTAGATATACTAAAATGTCTTGATATTTAAACGGGTTAGTGAATCTTTCTTATGTATTAACCAGTCTTAAACAAAAATATTAATTATGGCACCACCTAGCAATCAAAAAGGTATTACTATTAAAGGTACTTTTATTAACAAGGAATGCATTAGATTTTTTGACTCAACAAAAAGTTTAGGGGCGATACTTGACAAGGAATTTTTTTTTTTTAAAAACACAAATACATAAGATTGTTAAAAACTGCTACAATATATTGAGCAGAATATTCAAAATAAACTTTCTAATTCTTATTACACAAAGATTTGTGCACCATGTAGTATGTTCACTAATATTTGTGCACCATAGTATGTTCACTAATACTTGTGCACCATAGTATGTTCACTAATATTTGTGCACCATAGTATGTTCACTAATATTTGTGCACCATAGTATGTTCACTAATATTTGTGCACCATAGTATGTTCACTAATATTTGCACAGCTAGATTATTGCAACTCCCTCTACTTGGGAATTGAAAAGTCACAATTAAAATAACTGCAGTCTATTCAAAATTGTGCAGCAAGATTGGCATTTAAAACTAGAATAGAAAATCATGTAAACGACCAGGAATTTAACAAAGCACATTGGCTGAAAATTAGAGAATATATTTCAAGGTTTCTTTACTAATGCACAAATCTATTATTCTGGAAGCACCAAGATCATTATGCAATTTAATTCATTACTCGATGTCATAAAGAACACTAAAAATGAAGGAAACGAAATGCAGCAATCATTTTGGTAATCAAGCATTATCTCACTATGGTCCTAAACTTTAAAATATACTTCCAATGATCATCTATGGCAAAAAAATACAACTCTTTATAAGAAAAAACTAAAATCTTATTTAATGATGAATGGTGAACTATTCCACCAGAAAACTCTTGAATGTTAAATTAAAATTTCTTGAACATTAATATTAAAAATTTTACTAATATAAATATTTTGTTGCAAAGCTGAGCAAGTGTTTTGCCAACTTTATCTACTATTCTGGCAAAACACAGTAGTTGTGGGTAAACATATGTATTTATTTATTCAAAGTGTATATACATTTTATTTTCAAATAAAAATAGTTTTACATAACTATATAAATAGTTCCATGTTAAGTTAATGAAGTTGTAAAAATCATGTAGTTATTTTGAAACTAAAGTTGTAAAAATCATGTTTTACTTTCCATACATAAATTTATTCATACAATATTCATTCACATGAATTCTTTTAGCTAGAGACAATCATAAGCTGATTTTACTGAGAGAAAGGAAATGGAGTTCATTTATTGACTTAACCTCAATACACCTTACAAACATCAATCTTTAGATGTTAGCATTTGTGGACCATACAATCATGAAGTAGATTCCAGGATAACAGCTAACTAACAGCTTTGCACAACGAAATTTTTGGTTTGATTAAAAGCATTAATGTTAACTAACATTTCAGTACAAATAATTGATGGTAACACATTATTATTTGGTAATTAACTTTCCAATATGATTGATGGTAACACAACTTTTGATAATTATTAAATTTTAATCGAAAAAAATAAAATTGATTGAAAAAGTAGAGACTATTTAACTAAGTTTTTACTAAAGGGAAAATTTCTTAAATTAACACAATTTTATATTTATATTCTAATTACTAAATTTTTATTAACAAACATAAATATTTAATAATAAATACTGTATATTACTTTGAAATATAAAAACACACACACCTTCTGTTTTTTCTAGCTTCTACCCAACAATGGCTTTGTAAGTTATTTTTTTCAGCGTACATTAAAACAGGAGGAAGAATGGTTTTATTCTTAAAAAAAAAAGTTTTTGTAAAAATATTTAAAATAAAAAAAATCATATTAGCATAAATTCAAATGGTTACCTTGACAATTCTAGAAGAAGCACTAGATATAACATCTAATTCAGAAATACCTCCAGTCAACCTTTGAGATTAAAGAAAATAATTCATGTTAATTACATTTTTTTGTTTGTCTGTTTGCTTGAGGTGCCCCAAAAATATCTAATGGACTTGTCACAGAGCACCACAGTAGAGCAAATAACTAGGAAGTTATTGCCTCCTACCTAACCATGGTGCAAAATATACAGAGAGCAACCACTGCACTATGATTGCTTATCCTATACGCCTATTACGCCAATAAGAAAATTTTGAAATAATATTATATAGATATAAATTACATATGTGAATCAAGAATGTTATATAAACAAAAAATCAGAACTGATTTCAAAACGCAGACATAAAAACCTAATAAAATAATATTGAATTATAAAATATAGGAATTTTTCACATAAATTGACTTACTGATTTTAAGCAAATGGAGGAAGTGTATATACATACTTTACATGCATACAACTATGACTTTTAAATTTTTTGTTTTTGTAAACAAAATACTAAGTATTTTGTTTACAAAATAAAAATTTTGTAAAAAACTTTGTAAAAAATTTTGTAAACAAAATACTAAGTATTTTGTTTACAAAAACCAAAATTAAATTATAAAAAAAATCCAAAATTACTTATAAAAAAAATTATTTTATACTTAAAACTTTTTTTATGCTACAACACTCATTAATTTAAATAACAGAAAATAGGAACAAAACAAAAGATAAAAAATATTATAAAAAAATTACTTCATTTGGTTCAAAGCATTTAAAATACCAACACTGAAATTGTCAGTGCCTAAAAATAAAACTTTTAATCTGTTTTTAGTAGAGAACTTCTTGATGTTACAGCATTTATATAGTGGAAGAACAAACGATCTTTTAATTAAATATTGTAACATAATAACTATAAACAAAAATAAATAAACATATATACATACATACATATATACATACTGTATGTATATATGTATGTATATATGTATGATAATATATACATACATACATATATACATACATATATGTATGTATATATATATATATATATATATATATATATATATATATATATATATATATATATATATATATATATATATATATATATATATATATATATGAATATATATATATATATATATATATATATATATATATATACGTATGTATGTATGTATATATGTATGTATATATGCATATATATATATATATATATACATACATATATACATATATACATATATACATACATACATACATACATACATACATACATACATACATACATACATACATACATACATATATATATATATATATATATATATATATATATATATATATATATATATATATATATATATATATATATATATATATATATATATATATATATATATATATATATATAGATAGATAGATAGATATAGATATACAAACTGTTCAAAATCATATTAGAGGTCACTGTTTGAAGTATTATAGGGAAACAACAAAAAATTTGCAAAGGCATTTGCAAATTTCTTTTACAATTGACCGGAACTCTTTGCCTTTGAAACTAGTCAAATAATTGCCTGTAAACTCCTTTAAAGCAGGATTCAACTGTTTTACAAACAACAATCGATTGAAGCGGCTATCACAGTGTGCTTAAAAGCATGCTCACTGACCAATCCAGTTACAGCAATAGATACTAACTATATATATATATATATATATATATATATATATAATATATATATATATATATATATATATATATATATATATATATATATATATATACATTTATGTATATAAAAATGCTTCCAAAAACATTTAATATTGATAAATTGCAATTATTACATCTTTAACTACCTCCTGCATTTATCACTTTTGTTTGTTAATATATTGCTAATCATAAACAATGAACCATATTATGGAGTTACTGAAGTTAGTATCACATTGAAATAACAACCTTAGTAACTCCGTTAATTGTATGCTGTAACACAACATACAATTAGTTAAGTGTTAAGTTCTTATATAAGCTTGGATAAAAGTTAACAAAAAGCATATATTTATTATTAGCTACTAAAAAAAAGTTGATTTAGTATTGAAGATTTTGAAAATGAAGTTTTTATATTGGAATGTTAAAATAGCGTTACAATGTTTATTAGTGTAAACAAAAACAATGGTTGTAGCAAACTAAAGTTTTTTGTTTCACACAACATTAACATAGAAAGATGACATTTTTGGCAAAGTTTAAAAATAAACAAAGCAATCGATAATTTGAGATTTGCTTTTCAATGGATAGTTTGTTTTTGCTTTCCAAACTAACATTTAAAACCATAGTTAATAATAATAATCAAACTAGGACTATACTATATGGACTATACTAAAGTACCTATGTACTATACTACTGTACAACTTTAAAATTTTTACAATTTTTTTATCAGATGCTTAAAATGACAAAGAAATTATTTTTAACTCTTTATCATGTCTTAATCATGATGTTAAACTACTCCTATAAAGATAACTTAGTGAAGAAAAAATCTCATATGAAACCCCAATTTAACTAAGGGTAAGAGTAAAAAAAGTTATAAGCCTTTGAAGGTAATCCTCCTAGTGCTATAATATATCAACTGACTACTAGAGTTATGGTATTAAAATTAAACTACTTCGTTTTATAACGTTAACCTATATATTATTAACTTCGTTTTATGACGTTAACCTATTCGCTAAATAGGTTAACGTCAGGAAGAGTATCTGTAAAAAATTGTTTTAACTTTTCATGTCATATTTAAATAAGAAAATGACACAGGAAACCACTGGGCAAAAAAAAAATTTTATCTTTTAGATTTATAATAATTTTTAGCCTCATAGTACTATCAACAGATATAAGCGCAAATTTTTTCTCAAACAATCAAACACAAAAATATTTTAAATACAGAATTTAAACAATTTTTGAATATTTCAGATATGAGACTTAAGAATTATGCAAACTCTAAACTTAAATCATGCTTTGTATATAGTGATTTGTATGCCCATGCTTAAATAAAACAGAATGTTTCCCTTAAAATTCACGGTACATAGGTCACACTATTTATAGTTATTACCGTGATCGGGGGTATGAACAGCGGGGTGAAAATAAACATCAATACTAGTTTTATTAAATGGTGTAGCAACACAAAAAAAAAGGCTAAAAATTGAGATATTTTTACTCACTTGCCTTAAATATAATGTGTGGAAGATGCCCTCAAAATTATCTTTTCCCGCCTTTTCTCCATTGCATATAAACTAGGGCTTTGGAGCAGCTCCGGAGCTCACAAGCAAGCGTAGAGAGGCTATTTTCTGTTCTTAAATTTGTATCATGTGATCTGCGTTCTTCACTCAAACCTGGTATTTTAGAAAGATGAATCAATTATTTTAAGAATGAATCAAGAAAAATATCAATGTTATCAAACAAGGCCGGCGCGATAGGGGATGTGGGGGGTGTGACACCCCCCCCCCCCCATTAATGATTTTTAGTCGGCAAACTGGACCCTTTCAGACTAGTTAGTCGGCAAATGTCGACCTTTTCGATATAGGTTTGACAGTCGGATAATGTCGTAATGGCAGTCGGCAAATTTTGGAAAACGAGGACTTTTTTTTTTTTTTTTTTTTATTGGCACCCCCCCCCCCCCCCCTACGTGACACCTACTCACGCCGGCCCTGTTATCAAAGTATTAATAATACTTAGGTTACTGCCATAAAACAATAAATAATTTTTTTGATTTGTTTTTTTGCGGAGTCGCTCCGGAGCTGCTTCGGAGCTAGAGCCGGAGCTGGAGCCAAAAACTCTGATGGAGCCGGAGTCTGGAGCTGCACCCAATTTTTAGACCTCGACTCCAAAGCCCTAATATAAACAGTGCAAGTTACGTGGTTTGGGCAATTAACTCACTTATTAAGAAATATTTTAAGAACCTTACATCTAAACGTCATTAAAGTTAGCTCGCATCACGTTCAGGTACATAATGTTTTAATAAAACAATAATTTAACGCATAGCTTGCCTGTATCCGATTATAAGCTAATTTTAGAATGACTTTTTTTTAATGCGAAGTAAGGTTTTTCTTTGTTAATTTTAGGAACTATGCCTTAAAATTACAAAAGAAAAGAAAACAATTTAGGTTGTAAAACAAGTTAAACAAAAAAAAGATCTAGAAATATCAGTAATTAAAGTAAAAAAGTATGGATTTACCATTAGCAAAGCTTCATTAACGTACAATATTCCATTAGGAACATCACATAAAAAAGTAAAGTTTGGGGATTAGGTTTCAAAAAAGCATAGCGGACAGACAGATAGTAAACCAGACTTGATAGTAAAACCAAAAATTAATTGGTCCAAACAATTATTTATATGACTGACTGAAGAGTACCGTTTGATTCTTTGGACATAAGAATTTTAGTCAAACCTTATTGTGATAATGTGAAGATAAATGACGCTCGGTTCAAAAATAATATTTCTAGGGTAGATTGGTTTCGGTCCTTCATTAAAAGACATTGTTTAACAAATAGGGTTGCTGACAATGTAGAATATAGTAGAGCTGTGGTGAACAAAGAAATCCTTCACAAACATTTTAATATTTTATACCAAGATTTGAAGGATATACCTCCAGAAAATATCTTCAACTATGATGAGATTAATATAACAGATAATCCAGGGTCCAAATTCGTTATCGTTTGTCGTGACCATGGGAACCGTGTTAAAAAAAAACAAGAATATTCAAAGCAGTTGACCAATTTAATGTTTTCTGGTAATGCTGTGGTAGAGTTTTTGCCGCCTATGATTTTGCGCCCAGTGTTATGGCCTTATTTATAATAAAGATATTATAATGAGCTCGATATTGAAAATATTAGTTTTGTATGCAGCATGTGTGAGTTATTAAAGAAATTGGAGGATAGTGACAGTTGATGTTCTGTTTTATGTAGAATAGATTTGTAAATATTGTGATACATGTAAATATATTCAAAAAACTAGGTTTTAAACGTAGTGTGTTAATTTTTTCACATGAACTGAATTTAAAAAAAATCTATTTAAAAAAAGGTTTTTGTTATCTGTTTGATTTTTAACAGTATTTTCCCACATTTTATTATTGTAATATAGCCATAAGCTAGGGTATAAAAACAATATGTAGTGTTTAAAGTCACCCCAAATTGGCTGTTCATTCTCACCCCGTTTTGGAAATATGTATATACTCGTAAAAAAACAAAAAACTAAGGTATTTACTTCATATTGTTACAACTTTTACAGTAAGCTGAAAGTATAATGTTCTGTTACAAAAAAAATGGTCGCGATTGGGCAAACAGTTTTTTTCCATGATGCAAAAATGTTCAAAAAGTGATCATAGTCACTCCCGTTCACGGTAGCTGTTCGGACCCAAAAAATCTGGGTCTTTGAAAGTCAACCATTTTAATACTCATTTACTTAAGGTGGTTATCAGGTAAAAAAATAGCGATTTTTGTGAAAAAATGTGTTTTTTAGTTTATCAGCCAACTTTGTTTAAAATTTAATTGGCTTTTTAACCATATATAACATGATATGGGTTAATTAATAAAAAAATGTAAAAAAATTGTTTTAGTTGGTAAGAGTAAAAAAAATTTACTTAACAACCGCATAGCAACCAATAATTTTTTATAGATATATTACCCAAAGACCTAGATTTAAACAATTATTTCTTTTCATGGGTCTGTATAATTAACTAAACTTTTGAACCAGAGTTATTTTTAGCAAAGCCGTATGTTTTGATGTTATTTGTTAAGCAGAAAGAAAAAAGTTTAAAGTTGTTAAAAAAAGTTTTATTATGGCAAAGAATAAAAGTTTTAAAAATAGAAAAGTTAAACGAGTTTTTCAAGGTAATAGATATACTAAGAAAACAGTTGAGGTTTTTTTGCAACAGCCTTCAGCTGTA